TGCCAAAATATACGTTTACACTGTCCTCCTGAATTTTTTGACTCATTCTCCACATGTAATTCATCATTTAGACCAGTATTACTTTTTACGGCAGACATTGGAGTTTTTAATTTTCTTGGTGAGACACATTTTCGACTGTAACTGGGAATGACTGGGCCACTTTTGGCTTGGGGGCCTGCGAGAGGCCCCTCAAGGAGTTTCCTGATGGTATCGGGTTGCCTTGTCTGTCTGTTGTTGACCTGCATTCGTTGGACCAATGTCGGCCTTTACCGCATCTCCTGCATATACCTGAAGGCTGAGATCTCCTACTTTTGTCATTCCCAGAGGAGATATTATTCCTAGGATTTCTTTGCCGGCAATCCCTTTTCAGATGTCCTAATTTACCACAATTAAAACACCTGGTAGTTTGATGTCTCCTCATAGCTTTGGAAATCGCTTCTCCTATCCAGGATTCATCATTATAGCTAAACATCTCAACATTCATTGTATGCTGTATCCATTCTTCCATTGGTGCTGATCTAGATCTTAAAGGCCCAATTATCTTTTTACATTCAGTATTTGCATTTTCAAAAGCTAGAGATTCAAGAAGTATTCGTCTAGCTTCTGGGTCTGTTACCCCTATGTCCAGAGCCTTAATTAATCTTTGCACAAAGTCAGTAAAGGGTTCTCTCTGTCCCTGCCTAACCCTGGTATATGATTCGACCCTTTTTGCTGGATCTTGTATTCTATTCAAAGCATTCAAGGCTGCTTTGTGACATAAGGACAGCACTTCTTCATCATAAAGAGCTTGGACCTGTGGATCAGCATATGCTCCTACACCAAGAATTTGATCTTGGGAAACCTCCACACCTTTTGCTCTTCCTTGCTGTTCCATATGTTTGGATTCTTCTCTGAAATAAATTCCAAACATCAAGGAAGGCCCATCATCTAAAACTGCAGACACTAGCTGAGAGAAATCATGGGGGGTAGCTCTGACATTAGAAGCCCAAGTCCTTATCATTTCCTTAACAAATGCAGAGTGCAAGCCAAAATTAACGACAGCTTGCTTAATTTCTTTTAAATCATTCATTGCTATTGGTGTCCATCTAGCTTCTTTAACTCCCTTTGAGCCTTTGGAAGTTAACCCTTTGTCAGAATAAATTACAGGGTATGTTGTTAGGACCCTGGGTAAGCCAGTTCTAACAGCTGGTGGTGGCATTGTATCCTGTCCTTGTGCCTTCTTACTCTGTTCACCAGCTCCAATAGTTTCTTCAATCATTTCTAATCTTTTTATCATTGTATCCCTTAAATCCTGAATCTCCTGACCTACCCGTGTTTCTAGTAATTTCACTAAGGTATCAGTTTTTTGGTTCCCATTCTGGAGGTTCATTCTATCTGTTACCTTATCAAAACTTTGTGGTAACATCTGAACGTCAAATTCAACAGCCTGTACCCTTTCAGGTAACTTCCTAGTACCCTTGGACATGGAGTCAATTTTGTCTATCATAGTATCCACTTGTTCAGATAACCCCTGATTTTCAATAATTTTAATCCTTTCAACTAGTTGTTCAATATTAGTCCGTAAAAATCGTATCTTTCTTAATGATAAAATATTGAAAAGAAAACTGAAACCTAGTAACAAGTAAATTAATATATTCCCATAGTCATATAAACCTTGCATGACATAATCCATTGTATTAATAAAGAAAACAGTAAAATTGGCGTTGGAAACAAAAACTGCCATATTACCTCTTGTCTAGTTGGCGGCGCTGTTGCCAAGTTGCGACTAGAACCACTGCAAAGGTGACTTAAACAGGTCCTGTTTCAGTGTCTGCCTTAGTATTTGTTAAAAACTAGGAAATATAAGTTGCTCAAGAAAGAAAGTTTAATTAAATCAATTCCATGCACGGAACCAGAAACCCAGAATCCAGGGGTAGAAAAGAGCAACCCGGAAGCCGCGTATGCCTCCACGTGACCGAGTCGTTCTGATTCACGCCACTAAAGCACCGCACTTACAAGGGAAATTTAAAAACAACTCAGAAAAGAGCAAACCAGGCTTGCAGAGACTGTCCCAAGCCTGTGGAGCTTGGGAGGCGTGGGGTTTAATTGAACTGCTGGCTCCACATACAGGGCACAGGCCGCAGCTGAGGGAGGTCTCGTGACTAGCCGAGCTGGTAGCAAGCAGTTGAGTGGGGGGGAAGGGGGGGGTTCTACAACCAAACGTGGGGCGCCAGATGAAGGCGTAAGTCACAGACAATCCCACACCAGTTTGGAATTATGATTAATAGAATGGTTATTTATTCAAAGGGGAAAAAACTTACAGATTACCGTCCCAGACAACAGCCCCTCCGCGCGAACAGGAAAGGAGTCCAGGGGCCGGAAACGGAGCCGGAAGACAAAGACAGAGTGGAGGACAGCCGCTGCTTTTTTTAAAGGGAGAGAGACCACGCCCCAATGGGCTGGTAACTCAGCAGCGATTGGCTGAAGGAGCTGAAGGAACTCCCACAGCACCCAACCATCCATTTTTGAATAACATCTTTTTAATTATTATTCTAATATGGATTTTTTTCACAATTTAATATTAATCATGCCACACACAATTAGCAGCATTATTTTCTTTCTTTATAGTACGTGAATTCATAGCATATAGCATATCTAATTATATCTTAGATTCCTTGAAATAAAGCACCATTCAAATGCCCCATAACAAACGCTGATCCTTCTGTCTTCTCAGTATTTCCTCAGCGCCGCCTTCTGCTCCCACCGCTGTTTCCAGTTCGCCCCCTCGTTTTTTCCAGCAGAGTCGGACTCTTAGATGGCAAGGCGTCTGTGGAACACAGTGGTGCTGCGGTGTCATGATCCCACACAATGGAGTCATTTAGAATTCTGAATGTTCGCTGTAGGCTTCATCCCCGTTCCTAGTCAAAAGTATTCGTTATCTGTTCTGTGTATGGGCAGCTTCGTTACGAGCCGCAGTTTACGAGGACAATGTAGTCAGGAGCAGAGCGTGGTGGAGTCAATGACTTTCAGCCCAAACAATACATCTAATCTGGTGGTCTTGGCCAGGCAGGTCCATGGAGGGCGAGCTGTCCTCATTGGCACCGCTATGGTGGAGACCTACCATGAGTCCTAGCACCCTGAACAGCTGGGCTCTCACCTGTCCTTCCTGCAGCCTGGGGTCCAGCTGAAATCACCTGCCCACATGGCCTCTGCTCTGCATCTCCAAGCTTTCCCTCCTCCTCCCGTCTGTCTACACAGACTGAGCCTTTCATCCAAGGCAGTAGTTCTCAACCCGTGGGTCGCGACCCCTTCAGCAAATCTCTAGCTCCAAAAAGTTTACATTATAATTCATAACATTAGCAACTTTCCAGTTCCAAAGTAGCAACTAAAATAATTTTATGGTTGGGGTCAGCACAGCATGAGGAACTGTACTAAAGGGTGAAGAACCACAGCTCTAAGAAACTTTCAACCTTTATGAAATGTTCTATGGACCTGCGTTGTCCCACAAGAAACCACAGGGTTTGGGGGTTACCGAACAGAAAGCCTGAAGTATAATTAGTGCCACTGAGAACCAAGTTTCTTTAACAAAGTTAATTTTATTTAACTTTAATTAATTAAAATTTAGACATGCTGGTGGCCCACGTCTACCATATCAGAGAGCATGTGAATGAATTACCACCACAACCAAGAGCCAACGCCCCAGTGTCGGAGTCCAGTTCCAGCAGGGCTCAGGTCCCAAAGAGGAGGTGCTGCGGCCTGAATACAAATGTCTCCCGGAGGCTCACATGTCTGAATTCTCTGACCCAGATGGTAGCACTGTTTTAGGAGACCGTGCAATCTCTGGAACATGTGACTTGGCTAGCATGTGCTCACAGCGGTTGGAAAGGTTGGCTTCAAAGGCTTTATCTGCACATGGCTCTTGCCCGAGCTTTCTGATCCACCAACGTGAGTAGCCTCAGACATACACACATTCCTGTCACTATGAACTCTTCTCCTCTACGCCAGACAAGAACAATGAGACAAACCCTTCCTCCTTTCAGTTGCTTCTGTCACAACACAAAAGCAGCTACTACAGAAGACAGCTCAGAGACAGGATTAGCTGAGTTCCGTGTGTTTGAACGTTCCAGTCTCGAGAACCACCATTAGACACCTTGTGCCCCAGGGACCTGTTCAACTTCCAGCAAGGCTGCAGACTAAGATGGGTCATGGGGACCATCAGCTACGCCAAGCTTCCCTAAAATGTTTATACACTTGGATGAGCAGGCTGACTTTCCCTGGACACACATCATTGCTGGGGGAAACCGGCACAATTGATATAGATCCAAGAGGAGACAACATTTTAGAGTTCGGCACCTGCTCTCCCAGACCCTTTCCTGGACACCTCTTCCTTCGCTGGTTCTAACTTTATGTTGTAGTAATACATTGTAACCATGAAGATAATGGCTCCTCTGAGTTCCCTGAGTCCTTCTCTAGAGTTCTTAAATCTCAGGGTAGCTCAGAAGCTTACTGAGCTTGCAGCCACCTAAGACAATATATGCCACGGTGGTACCTAGGCCAGTCTGGCAGAGACTGCTCTATCCCACAGCCTCTGAGCTGGTGGGCTAGAAGCTACAGCTAAGGTCAAGGCTGGTGGCTAGAGATGGTGAGTCTTTAGCATGGGCAAGGGACCGTTGAAAGGAGTGACTGGAACCAGTGGACTCAAGGTATCTATGTGAGGGAACAGAAGACAGGAGGTGCGGAGTGATCCCGGAGAAGGAACCAAGATGTGAGAGCCCAGTCACACTGAGGGAGCGGGGGTGAGAGAATCACACAGCTGCATCAGGCCCCTCCCTGGCTTGGAATTCAGGGAGGTTCTGATATTCCTGTGTGCCTTGTCCTCAGGACTAAACCCCGTCCTGCAGCAGACTCTGCAATCTGGAGCATATTTAATTTGAAACAAGGTTTTGCCTTCCTGTGAGGATCACTTTTCTGCTCTTGACTAGGTAGTTACAGGAATTCCTTACAGGAATCTGGTGGGGACAGTGAGAAAGAGGGTAAAGCGATGTCCTTCAGTAAGCAAGGATCTGGAGGGGGACATCCCCTTTGCTCCTCAAAAACAACCTTCTGACCCCAAATGCCTTAACTTAAAAAGCCTCTTAGCAAAATCATATCCTTTGTACCACCCAATTCTGGTAGAGATTTCCTTAAATTTTCTGGCCATCTCCTCCCACGACTTAGTGTCAGCTAAATGAGCCAGATTACCCTCTTAACATTCACTCAGTGGCAGCGGAGGAAACAGCCACTCCTAGAAGTAAGGGGGAAGTCACTCTGGAGTGTGGGACACTTCTTGGAGTAGGTGGATCTCTAGGATGGTGGGTGGACGTGGACACAGGGATAATGACGATGATGATGATGGTGATGATGATGATGATGATGATGATGATTAAGGACACTATCTTGCTGAGGAAGAAGGGGAGGAATTCTAAACAGGAAGTGGGGGTATCTGACTAAATTTCCACTGCAGACCCAGGTCCCCCTTTCTCTAGGATCACACTGCACTTTCTCCAATACTCAAGTCCTGGTATATTCTCAGCCCTCGATTCATTCCACAAGGATGCCTCGAGGGGGCAGCCCTGAGCTGGCTTCTTGAGAGTCTCACAAGAGACTGGAAATGCCTTTCTAGACAGACCTAGAGTAAAAACAGCAGGAAGCAGAATGGGTCTGTGGGTGAGTGAGGCAGAGCGGGGAGCAGGATGCAGAAGCACACTGTGTATGTAGAATGAGCATCGCTTAGAGAAGCTCATTGAAGGAAAAGACGACTCATTCATCTCTACAGTCTGGGCACAGGGTGGGGACTCGGTGTTAATGAATGACTGAATGAAGAGGGAAATGAATAATTTCCCCTACCATTTATAAAACCATGCCAGTTGCCAGTTTTGTTTAGGCTAAATCACTTCCCGTCTCCGTTCTGAGAGCTTTTCCTTCCAATGTAGGCACTTAATCCAACTGAATAAGTTCACAGTCTTTTGCACCCAGTTCCTTACCCAGAATGCCCCCCATAGTTTGTCCTTCATTTTCTTTCTTCACTTTCTGAGCATCTCAGAACATTCGGGAGGCCTTTGAGTCTTTTATTAAATTGGCGTGGGGGAAGTTCTTGGGAACACGTTCACATAGAACAAAGGACAGCTCTGTTGAGAGGGGGGAGCGTGTGATGTGGAACACAGCATGACTGAGGAAAAAATCCACAGATACGGGGTGAGGGCAGCTGGAGGTCCCTGGGCTCCTCCAAGCCAGGAGCAGCTGCTTGGCCTGGGGCAGGAAGTATGGTCATTAGGTCCAAGAGTCCACCGAGGGCTGTCCACACCCTTTCCTAGACACAGCCTTGGAATCCCTAGGCAAACACTGACCAATAAATTAGGTTGAAAAATATATAGAAGGCTGGAAATATCAGCCTGGAGTATTTGTCAATGGCGTGGGTGTTCTGGAAGATGTAGAGCCCCACGTGGCCTTTGAGAAGGCCTTTCTTTCTGGAGGTTGCCAGTTCACTGTTAAGGGCCAAATGGACCACGATTTTGTCTTGTCTTTCTTCTTCTGGCAGAATGTGGCTTCTTGGGTAGCCAGCCAGGCTGTTGGCCTCAGATTCACTGTAGCTTCCATCCAGCATCATGGTTCTTGAGTGAGGCATTCCACACACGCATGGAAACTACGGGCAGCAAGCAAAAGGCTCAGTGAGATCTCGAGGATGGGGAGAGAAACTGGCCTGGTGACAGAGTGACGACCCATTGCTACTCTGGCATCCAGAGAGAGGAAGTTCTAAGGACCTCGGACATCACCGAGTCCAGCAATTCTTTACTCTGACTGCGTTGCACACCAACTCTAAGCTGGCTTAAAACTCCCAAGTGGTTCTGCTGTTATGTAGCAGTTTCCTGGCAACTGAAACATTCCTTCCTTCAGGGAAGCTCATTAAGACAGACAGTATGATGGTTTGAAAGAAAATGGCGCCCACAGGGAGTGGTACAATCAAGAAGTGTGACTTTATTGGAGTAGGTGTGTCCTTGTTGGAGGAAGTGTATCACTGTGGGTGGGCTTTGACGTCTCATATGCTCAAGCTACGCCTGGTGTGGCACACAGTTGCTTCTGCCGCCTATGGATCAAGATACAGGACTCTCGGCTCCTTCTCCAGCACCGTGTCTGCCTGCATGCTACCCTGACAATAATGGATCAAACCTCTGAAGCGAGGTAAGGCGGTGATGGTGCACACCTTTAATCCCAGCACTCAGGAGGCAGAGGCAGGTGGATCTCTGAGAATTCGATTTGAGGCCAACCTGGGTTACAGAGCAAGTACCAGGGCAGGTTCCAAAGCTACACAGGGAAAACCCTGTCTCTTAATTAATTAATTAACTAATTAATTAATGTATGTATGTATGTTTTGCATTAACTAATTAATTAATTAAACCCCTCTGAACTGTAAGCTAGCCTCAATTAAATGTTTTCCTTTTTAAGAGTTGCCTTGGTCATGGTGCTTCTTAGTTAGAAACCCTAACTAAGATAGACAAAAGGTAAACAATTCATAGTAGCCTGATCCTGACACTGATCAGATTCATCAGGCCCTCTTTCTCCCCAAGAGAATATGAACAGTGAAGGCTGATGACAGCCGAGCCACAAAGAAGACTGTGAGACAAGCCCAGCCTCCGGAAAGAAGCAGAGACCTAAGGAAGAGTCTGAAAAACAAAACAAAACAAAACAAAACAAAACAAAACAAACAAAACCAGACAGGCTCAGACTAACTGGGCCACCAGGAAAGGGCACTCTCCAACCTGCTGAGCTGCCTGCAGGCTGTGCAGAGCACTATAGGCTCTCAACTTTTGTGAGCTCTCACCCTTGAGGTGGTCTTTACTGATGTAGCTGTCTTTGAGTCATTTCTGCTCCTGTGAGTAATCCCTCGCCCTTATTCCTGTAAGAAATCCTAGTGAAACCCACTGGTTCACCAAGTTGTACATTGGTAGTATCCATATTTTGATCTATCATGGGCTACTTAACTGAGGTGGGTAGGCGTGTGTGCATGTGTACGTGTGTGTGTGTGTGTGTGTATGTGTGTATGTGAGTGCATGTATGCATGTGTGTGTGCATGTGTGTGTGTGTTTTGCATCCTCCCAGGAAAACTCTGTTATACAACAGCTGTGCAGCCAGAATTGAGAACTGCTGATCCAGTCCAGTTAATTTCAGAGGCGAAAACTAAGACCCAAGTGCTACACAGTTTTCCTGAAACCACGTAGCAGATATGAGACCCAGGAATTTTTTTATTCATTTTGTTTTACATAGAATCTCACCATGTAATCCAGGCTTGCCTAAAACTTTCCAGATTCCTCTTTCTAACCCATGACTGCTTCAACCAGGAATTGAAATCTCTGCATTCTGTTTCTAGGGCGGGGATCTACCTCTGTGTTCAGGAATAAAGAAAAAAGGTTAGGAAAGGCTGGGCAAGCCATTCAGTAGTAGAGCACTTACCTGGCCTGCCAAGGTCCTTAGTTGTTCTGAACCCAGCATTGAAAAACATTTAAAGCAGAGTGCCCTTATTTCAAAGGTGAATTTAGGTAAGAGTACAGGGTCATGAGTAGGCATGGTAGCACACACATGTAATCCCAGTATTTTGGAAACTGAGGCAGAAAGATCACTAGTTAGACCAGCCTGGGCTATTTGTGAGAGACCCTGTCTCTTAACAAGTAAATAAATAACAGAGTTGGAGTTTATGGTGTCTGTGCTGCATTTTCAGATAACTAATTAATTTGTGTGTGGTGGGGACAAGTTCGTGAAAGCACATACAGAGGCCAGGTGAGGACATTAAGTATTTTCCTGAGTTATTCTCTACCTTATTCATTCATTCATTCTTTCATTCATTCATTCATTTTGAGACAAGGCTCACTTGTAACATCAGCCGACCCGGAACTCACTATGTGGATCAGACTGGCCTACAACACAGAGAGACCACCTACCTCTGCCTCCCAAGTGCTGAGTTTAAAGGTGTGGTGCTATCACAGTCAGCTCTTTATTATTATTAATTATTGTTATGGTTGTTGTTATTACCATTAGTAATAATAATAATAATAATGTGTATGTTGTGTATCTGTGTGTGTGTGTGTGTGTGTGTGTGTATGTTCATGTGAGCAGGTACCCATTGAGACCAGAGCTAGAGTTACAGATGGTTGTGAGCTGCCTAGCATGGGTGCTGGGAGCTGAATTCTGTAGTCATCTATAAAAGCAGTCACATTCTTAACTTCAGAGCCACCTCTCCAGCCCTCGCCATATTTGTTGAAGCAGGGTCTCTCACTGACCCTGCAGCTCACTGTTTTGACGAGGCTGGATGGCCAGCCAGCTACCTCCGTCCATGTGCCTCCTTTCTCCAGCCCTTGAGTTACAGGTTGTGTGTGGACTCAGGTCACTTTATAGTCACAGGACGTGCTCTGACCTATGCGTTACCTCTGTAACCCTAATGTTGCATTTTTAAACAGTTCAGCTGCACCAACAAAAGTCAGAAAAGCTCAGTCAGTTTCTGAGGGGCAGGTAGTGGGAAGACTCCTGTTGTCCCACACAGAAAACACTGTTGATGGCTAAGCTGTTACCAAAGTGGTAGCTGAGCAGAATTAGGTGAAGGCATGGCTATCTTTTAAAATAGAAAAGTAAAGGATTACCAAAAAAAAAAAAAGTATTTAAGTAGGGGGTTGGAGAGATGGCTCAGTGGTTAAGAGAGCTCTTGTTATTTTTGCAGAGGACCCAGGTTCAAATCCCAGCACTCACAAGATGGCTCATAATAGTTGATAGGTCCATAATTTCAGTTCCAGGACATCTGATACCTTCTTCTGACCTCCTCAGGTACCAGACATGCACATGGTATATAGACAAACTTATGCGTAAAGCACTCAAACACATAAAACAAAACAAATAAATCTAAAAAGGAATAACTATATAAAAAGTATTGAAATTGGACCGGAGTGATGGTTTAGTGGTTAAGAGCAACCTCGTGCATTTGGAGACTGTGTGGAAACCCTTGAAAGGCACAGTTCAGATTCGATGCTGAAAGCCCAGTTCTCTAAAGGGAACACGCTCCTTTCCAAAAATCTAAAGGGCCTTCTGGCAAGGGGTCAGCAGTTACCCACATGAACACAGATGTGGAATTTTCATGATTTCTGATATCTGCACCTTCTAGGTGACCGCCATGTCAACTGATAGAATTGTCAGCGATGTGTTGGTAGTGATGACACAGGAGAACCAAGCTGGTGCTAGAAAACACTTACTAAACTTGCTTAGGAGAAAGTAAGTTATACAAAGCAGAATTTGGCTGAAGAAACACGCCTAGGTATCTTATCAGAAAGAGCATGATTCTGCCAGCCAGACAGGGTGACCCTGGCTAACAGTTGCCTGGTAAACAGCCCTGGTCTGTCCAAGGATAACTATGATAACATGATTTATTGTAAATACTTCCACTTGTTCAACCAAGCCTTGGAATTTCTGTCTCTGTGAAACACGGTTAATTGTTCTAACCGTAACTTGGGCCTGGGGCTTAAGAGAACAGATGACATCACATATAAAATAACTCAAAACCTAGATAAGCCCCTGATAATTTCTATATAGAGGTGGCTTCCTTTGGGCACTAGCCCAAACTAGATATACACTGTTGCTGTTAAACGAGTTTTTCCTGAATGTGTGAAGTAGTTCTCACTGGGTACTTACTTCTCTGGAACAGTAAGTCTGTGTGTGTGTGTGTGTGTGTGTGTGTGTGTGTGTGTGTGTGTGTGT